ATCAAACAATTGAACATTATCTGATCCTTTCAATAGGGCAACAGAAGTCAGTAGTACGACTGTCTCAGCTATCCTGTGTGTGTCTATATTTTTCCCTTTTTCTTTCCTTTCTCTTTTCCCTCATCCCAGTTGTTCTGTCCCTTTGAGCAGTTTCTTTCTATTTCACAACATCTATTGTACCTTTCAGATTTTATGTACTCTTTCAGGTTCCTATACTAGTGAAACAATAGGGCATTTACACATGTGGGTCTGATTTATTTCACTTATGAGTATGGACTCTACTTGTATCCACTTACCTATGAAAACCTCAAGTTTGTCTTCTTTATAGCTGAGTAATATTCCATTATGTAAAAACACCACATCTTTTTTACCTATTTTTCAGTTGATAGGCATTTGTGTTGCTTCCACAATTTAGCTATTACAAATTGAACAGCTATAAACATAGGTGCACATATATCACTGTGGTATGATGTTTTCAGCTCTTCTGGAAAAATACCCAAACGGGAAATAGCTGGGTTGAATGGGACCCTAGTCCTAGTTTACTTAAGAATCTCCAGACTGATCTCCACAGGGGTTGCACCAGTCTACACTCCCACCAACAGTGGACAAGGGTTCCTATCTCCCCACAGCCCCGCCAGTATTTGTTATTGGTTGATTTCTTGATGACAGCCATTCTCTCTGGGGTGAGATGGAATCTCAGTGTTGTTCTAATCTGCACTTCTCAAATGACTAATGATGAACATTTTCTCATGTATTTATTTGCCATTTGTATTTCTTCATCTGAGAAGTGTATCTGCATCTCAGATGCCCATTTTTGGATTGAGTCTTTAAATTCCGGGGGGGGGGGGCTGATGTTTTTTAGTTCTTTATATGCTCTAGATATAAGTCCTTTGTCTGAGGGACAGTTGGCTAAAAATTTTTCCCTATTTGTGGGTTTTGTTTTTACTCTGTTGGTGATTCTCTACATGTGCAAAAATTTTTCAATAAGATGAGATCCCAGTTGTTGATTCTTTGAAGTATTTCACATGCAATTTGCATTTTGTTCGGGGTACACATTTTGTCCTATGCTATGTTTTGCTTTGCCTTTCACTTTTTAAAAAGCATTCTCTTTTCCCATTTTTACCCTTTAAATAGTACTTTTTAAAGAAATAATAGAATAGTGTGTCAGTTACTCTTAGTTTTCAAGTTGACTGGATTAAAAGACTCCCTTAGAGGTGATCAGATCTTGGGGCGCTGTACTCATCAGGAGTAACCCACTGATGCGTTCATAACTGACTGTCCCGGAGTGAGGGGACCCATTGGAGCAGGTGGGGCATGGGGCTGCTTTTAGAGGATGCATCTCTGGCCTGTTGCCTTCCTCTGTGTTATGCTTCCTGGCTGCCATGACCTGAGCAGATTTCCAAACCCTTCTGCCATGATGCTCCTGCGCTGGAGCCAGCCAACCATGAAGTGATACCTGTGAAGCCACGAGCTAGATAAACCTTTCCTCCTTTAAATGGAAAGTGTAGGGTTTTTTATCCCATGAGTGGAAAAAACTAATACAAATTGCATATGTCTGTTAGGTCAGGATGCTTGAAAAAGTCCAGTAAAAATGATCAGTTTTATCATTTTTCCAATTTACACACTGAAGTATGAGAATATGGTCTTTGAGCCTAATTTAACTATCTCACCCCTTCTCTTCTCTCACCATTTTAATTCTCAGGCCATTGCATTTGGTTCCAGAACCTTAAATGCCACTTATGTGTGACTCCTAAATTTCTATGTCTAGCTACAACCACTCCCCTAGATTCCAAATCTTTATTCCCAACTACCTACTATGTGTCACCACTTGAATGTCTCACAGACCTCTCAATATTTCCATTTCAAAGCCAAACTCTTACAGCCGAGCACAGTGGCACACATCTTCAATCCCAGCACTCTGTCAGGACAGGAGGATCTCTGTGTGTTCAAAGCCAGCCTAGGCTATCGAGTGAGTTCAAGGCCAGTCTTAACTACATGGACAGACCCAGCCTCAAAAAAAAAAAAAAAAAAAAAAAAGACCCAGCCTAAAAAAAAAAAAAAAAAAAAAAAAAGGCGACTCTTGAACCTCCTCCTAGTCTTTTCTTCCTGTAGCTTCCCTGAGAAAGTCAGTGGCAATCTCATCCTTCTACTTGCTCAGACTCCAAAATGCTGGTCATCCTTTCTGCCTTTCCTTCCTTCTTCCTTTCATTCTCTTTCTTTTTATCCAATACATTAGCTGTATCATAAATTATTGTCTGTATCTACATCAGCTTCAAGATCCAAATATTTTTCATCATCTCATGGTCCTGGTTCGGCACCATCATCGCAGATCTGGATCCATTAGAAGCCCCTTTTGCTCACCTTGCTTCACCCATGGCTTCCCCGCAGTCTACTTCCAGCTAAGCAGCCAGACTAAAGACAACTGGTATTAGTCATCTGCTCAAAATCTCCAGTGGTTCCCCACCAAAGTCCTAATCACGAGCGGTAGGACTCCACACTACGTGACCCTGGTTACTTGGCCCTCCCTCCTGCCGCGGGCCTCCCTCCTTCCTCACTCTTTCCCAAACTCACTGCCCTCCTCACTGTTCTTGATTGGCTTCTCCCTTCTGTCTGGGACGATTTGCAACAACTCCTTTATCAGTTTTGGTTCCCTGATAGACGTCAGCCTCTGTGTGACTTCATCATCCTCTTTGACCCTGCAGCATCTCTCCCAGAATTTCTGACCATGCTACTCTGGTTGTGTTTCTCCACATGATGCATGCTATGCTTTCCTTGTATTTGCACTCCCATTTTCCCGGATTCACTGTCAGCTCTATGTGGACAACGACTCTTGACTTCTTGGCTTGTAAGTGAATCCAGCATCCAGTGCCTGGCTGTCAAGAAGCATTCACCAAGGGTCTCTGCAATGAGTGGATGAAAGAATCGGAAGAAAGCCCCTGTGATCCGCACAGTGGTGCTGAAGTAGAGGAGGTGGGAGGAGGGCTGCCAGGAGGGAGGACATGAAATCTCTGTTGAAAGTGTGAGCAAGGAGAGGGCTGAAGTGGTGGGATGGGAAGGATTCCAAGCAAGCGAGTATCTCGATCAGATGTTTCTGACCTCCATGCAGAGAAGAACTCCGATGCACATTTTAAGGAAACAGTGCACAAGTTAGCAAGCTTTTACATAAAAGATCCATCGAATATGTCTGTTTCTTTTCCTCTATAAATTCAAACTAGCATAAGAAGCTTTTACAGCTAAAAAGTTGAAAAGATATTGTGGCTTCAGGCAGAGCTTGACCACAGACTCCGATGCTATCCACACACCCTTTCTTTTTTCTCTCTCTTTCCCATTTCTTGTGTTTGCTCATTTGTCTGCACGATCATCAGACCTCATATGGCTACAGGCACTGGGTCCCTTCTCTCATAAGCCTCAAAGAAATTCTCATGGCTTTGCAACTGCTGCTCATGGAGGCCTAGGCTAATTTCTCAGACCACCATGGTCGTCTAGGAACGGAATGGTCAGGCAACGTCGCTTAGGGTGCACGCTTCCCCCCTGAACTGAGGGTTGGGGAGCAGTCGGTTTTCCAGAGGGAACTTCGGATGTGCCTGTCATAAGAAGAGGGCAATGGGATTTGTAATGGCCAACAGATGAGCCCTACAAAGGGGTAATGAGGGCTTGAACTGGGGTCATTGTAACAGAGATGGAATCAAGTAGACCTTCGGGGTGGGGAGAGGACACAGAATGGCTAGGATACAACTTGAACCGTTTAACCTTATGTGGCCGGGACTTGGAAATGCCATTAACAAAGATTCAGGATGAAGTAGGAGGAACTGATTTATGAGAGAAGGAAAGCGTTTTCTTGCTTTCTCATCCTTGTTTTTATTAATAAATTGTTTCCAGCTCCTCAGAGCTCAAGAGCAATTGAGCTCTGCAAGAGGCAGAAGGCAAATTCTTCTACCAACCACTTATTCTCCGAAGACTTGTCCCTGTGGTTTGAAGAACATCCCTGAGCCCATGTGTGAGAGCATCAGACTGAAAATGTATTTTCTTTCAAAAGTTTGAGTTTCCTCTGGTTGAACTACCAGGATCTATGGAGGAAAAAACCATGAGCCAGAGCTGGCTTCAGCCCTCTCTCAGAGAACGTTTCCACATGGGTGACGTAGGGCCGCCTCCTAAGGCACTGCCTGCGGATGAGGCTTCGAAAAGCATGCGATGCTCATTAATGAAATGCTAGTGGACGCCCATGAAATTATGAAGTGAGAAATGTTTGGTAGTGGACTGGGAAATGGGGGCTTGTAACTAGGAGCAAGAAAGGCTGGGGGCAGGCCCCAATGAAAGTGACAAGTACAAAGGTAGTGTGAGCATTTTTGCTTCTCTTTTGGTGTCTGCCGTTCACCAGGTTCAGCTTCCCCAATGTAAAATAACTCACTCAAATCACCACGGCCTCTCTGTCATCCCATTGACAGTCCCACTGTACAGGTTGGAAAACTGACATTTACCTTCCTGTCCCAAGTGCCTTGTCAAAGCTCCTACAGCTAATGAGCATGGGAGCTAGAATTCAAGCAGTTTAGCCCCAGGGCCTGCCCTCCTAATAAACTGATTGTATGTTCCAGAACTGCCCAAGGTCGTTGTAATTTATGCATGTTGTCTTGACATAATTCAGAATATGAGCTCTAGAATGTATCCCCATTTGGACACTAAATTACGGACATCATTCCTCTTAACTACAATATTTTGCTTTCTCAAAGCCAGGAACATCTAGTCTGTGCAACCGAGGTATCCAAATGACTAGGTTATATCTCCAGGCATGAGAGGGATGACATTTTGAATGGAATATGACTATTTGATAACTATCCTGTTTGTCCTAAGAATTAAACCAGCTGTATGGGTTGGTGTTGGTTTGGTTTTAACTAGTAAATCACTCTGCGTTCTTATAACTTTTAAAGCTCTGTTTTACGATATCATAAAGTTGCCTCTCTGTGGAATGATTTTATTTATGCCTCAACCCTTGGCTCCTCCAGGTTCCCCCTGATCTCCAGAACGAAGTGCTGATCAGCCTGTTAGAGACCGACCCTGACGTGGTGGACTATTTGCTCAGAAGGAAGGCTTCCCAATCATCGTGAGTATGCCAGTTTTCCATCCTCTAAAGCCATACTGGGGATTTCTATTTCCATTTCTAAGGAATTAGAAATGTTTACATAACTCTACGCAGGGCGGCTGAAGTGCAGTTTTAGCAACTTTCTGGCAACTCTGATCAGTCCACCTAACCAGAAAATGCTCTGGTCTTACCAGTCCACTTATCGAATTAAGGAACCACTTTACAAGGCAGTGCTCTCTCAGTTTCAGCTTTTTCTAACCCCTGAGGTCCTTTTGACTGTATTTACTGGGGGAGAAAACACTAAGTCACTCACAGGAAGCTCAAGGGACTGTATGATGCATCTCGCTGATTCAGTCTCCAGAATCTCGATAACTGTGCCTTAGCGCCCTGAGGCTCTCCCTGGAGGTATCTTACTTGTGCAGTTTTACCAGCTGCAGCAACACATTAGCAAACCACAGTGGGCCTTCACTGAGGCCTAGGTGCTCGTTTGAAATTAGAGGTGTGCCCTTTCTTGGCTTTCCCAGTAGGTAGAACTAGTATTCTGTGGATGAAAAGGCATACTGGTTTCCATAGTCACCACGCTTCCAGTGAGGAAGAAGCAAGCCACACTGAAGGCCATGCTTGGCTGCCATTTTTCCCCTGAAGGAGTACAAAAGTCTTGCATTAATTAGATTTTATGTCTCATCCCAGTAGTTGTTTACAGAGGCAGGATGTAAGCGGGTGCTGAGAATCTGGGAAAGTCAGTGAAGGGGGTAATAGCGTAGGTTAATTGGGAGCAATGTCAGCACCAAGACACCAAACCTTACACTTGTGACGGGAAAGGTGCTGCCGTTATCTTATGGAAGCATCATTTATGCCGTGCTTTTAATCTACTGAATCTCAACAATTCTCAGCTCCATTTCCCCTCAGGTTTCATTGTCTTTAAAATTCATAGCATTATTTCTTTCTCGGTCATACATAAAATAATGATATATCTTATTCAGCTGTGCTAAAAGCAGTGAACAATTTTCAGTTATTCTTGTACACTGAGGTTGAATTTGACTAATTACTGTTCATTACCAATTCCTTGAGACCTTAATACAATGATATTAGTTAGAGAAATTTAACGAAAAGCAATTCCGCATTTTTCAGTCTCCTTCTTTCTCAGGCCATTACAGTAATAGCCCTGCTAAATTCAGCTTCACTCCATTTCCAGCTGAGCAGGGAAGAGCTTGTAATTGGATCACCCTTTAAATGCACTTTTAAAAACTCAGGTCTGTGCCAATCATTATCAGGCCAAATTCTGGTTCAAGTAAGATGTTCTGCTTGGATTCAAGCCCCAAGAGCCATGAGCGAATAAAAAAAGAATAAAAAAAAATATCCCAAGTATAAATGAGCTGGCATTTCATGGTCTTGCTTTTGGTATCAGTATTGGGCTTGCATTTAAGTTTTTCCTACATTTCTAACCGTCATCAAAAAGTAAGTTCTCGTTCAAACTAACAAGTGGCCTTTCTTCCCAACAGATCATTTTCCACCAGAATTTTAACAGACTCACTCATTTACTTCCTCTGTGCATGAAAACAGCCATGGTGGCATTTCTCTTTATGAATCTCTCATCAAGCTGCATTTATAACGTGTCCTTGGTACCCTGTGGAAAAGCTAGAAAATACATACTTGAAAAAACACTGATTTTTGACTCGTCAACATTCTGTTTTTGTGCGGCATTATTAGGTAGATACATTTTGTGCTCTAAAGACCCGCTGATAGGAATTCTTTGTATACAGTTTTAAGTATGCTTTTTGTAGATATATGCCAAGGTAAGACATGAACCTGTTTTGTCTACTCTTAGGAAACAGGGGGAGGGAGCTCATGCCAAGCTGGAGAATTGTCCAGCCTCTTTTGTCCCCATCCCAGTAAGAGTAAGAAGTACAACTATAAGGTCCAGGTGAACTGACCTGACACTAAGATCTTAGGTGAGTGTTACGGCCTCTAGGATAGGAAGGTGAGCTCTGGGGAGCTGCAGTGTTACCAGAGAACAGAAAACGTTTGGTGAGACTTAGTAGGAGACATGGTTTTTGTTTGTTTTCCTCTAGTACCGGCCAAAGTATAGCCCAGAAGGCTGATAATGATGTCACAAAGTAAAAGTGCGTGCACTAACGGAAGAACATTTCTTTACAATGGTCCTTCAGACCTGAGTCTTATCCCTCAAGCTATAGATGGGCTCTGTGTGCCTTAGGCACATGCTCCTCCACTGCACTGTGCCGACAGGGGACAGAGCCCCAGGAGACTTTGGTTCCTATTCTTTGTGAATCCATAGGCTGGGGACGAGGTCTGAGAATCTGCATTTCTAACAAGCTCCTAAGTGATACTGATGATGCTGGCCCAAGAGCCATGCTTTTGAGTAGGGAAAGCTAAAAATATCAAGGCATTTTCTTGCCTGTAGTACCTGTCAGACTTGCAGAGTGGAAGTTGATAGGTGCTAGACCAGTGGTCCGCAGGTCTCAGTCTGACCTGTCCGTTCTAATCTCCTGGGGAGCTTTACAAAGAAAACTAGGAGACCACCACCAGCCCCAGTGCAGTCTGGGCATTGGGGATTTTCAAGCTCCTCACATGGTTCCAGTGAGCAGCCAAGGCCGAGACCTGGCTCACACCCACCACAGCGGGTACTACGTTCAGCATTTGCAATCACATAGCGACTAGGGGTGGTTCATTTTTGATCTTTGAAAGCTATCTTTGTGTTGACCAAGGAAGCAAAACAACGTTCCAGATCATAAATCCACTTGGGCTTTAGAGAAGAGAAAGAAGTATGACTTGTGATCTCAAGGATGGTTTCTGAGAAGAGGAAGGATTTGCAGGGATCTGGGAAGACCGGAGTGCAACCAGGCCGGGATGTTTAGGGAACTAACAGTGAAGGTGCTGCCTGTCTGCGGACATGGCAAGGAAGGTAGGAAGAAGCCTTTAAACACAGGTTGGGAAGTGGCACTTAGGTCAGAAAGCAATGATGTAGGGTTACAAGTGACAAGAGCTTACTGTAGTCACAGGTTATAGTGATGGGAAATTACAGTACTCCAAGCTGACAGATGGTGCTGGCTTCCTTGCTATAGCAATTATCCGCCAATACCACATGCTTGTGTAACTTTACACACTGGATACAAGCTTCAAGTTTAGAGTCAGATCTCCTAAATTCAAATTCCAGCTCCAATGCTATTAGCGGTGTGACTGTGGGTAAATTAATTAGTGTCTCTCTGTCTCCGTTTCTTTATCAATAAACTGGAGATACAAGTAGCACCACCTTCATACAATTATTGTTTTCTTACAATAGCGCCCAACTTATAATAAATGCTTAATGAATGGGAACAGTTATTATTGGGTCCCTTCAAACCTTACCATTTGGATCATTCACAGTTACTTACCAAAGACTCTGTCATGGTTTCCAGGCGGTAGTGATGCAGCAGGTGATATGGCCCAAGAGAGAACCCCCCACTTTAAGTTGTGCCATTGTTTTTAAAAGCAAAACTCCTAGTGCCCGGCTAGCTGGGTCGGTAGAGCATGAGACCCTTAAAAGCAAAGCTCCTTATTCGCCTCAGACACTTTGATGTTTTTTTCTCCAAGCTTCTGTTTTTGCCCCAAGCTCACATAACTAATGAAAGCTTTAGATTCCTGTGAGGCCAAGTGGAAACTGCAAAAGATTTAATTTGGAAGGCAAACGAAACAAGCTTTAAAGAGTGCAAAACCAAGAACAAGAAAATATTTATTAATATTTCTATTTTGAAAGAGCAAACTTTCAGTGATATTTGGGGACTGGATGTTTTGTTTTGATTTGAGTTTCTCTCCTCTTTATGCACCATCAAAGTCAGAGGAGTGTAAGGAGAGCCCATCACCTGTTCATGTGCTTGTCTCCTTCAGTTTTTGCCTTCAACCAAAATGGGATGCCAAAGGGAGATTAGAAGAGATTTGTATTACGAAAGATGCAAAACTCACGGTTTTCAGAAAATTGTTTGTCTGGTGTATTTTTTAGAATTATATACTCTTCTCCTCAAAGGTACTCAGAATAGATCCCTCCCTTTGATTGAGGAATGTGAGGAGGTAGGCGGTGGGGGTGGGAGGTTAATTGAAGAGGTCAAGTTAGGTCAAACGTCTGCCTTTGCAAAAGAACAAAGGTATCCCGGAGCAGGGCTGGGTCTAGGGGAAAGCAAAGGAGGTGCTTAGCTAGACACAAAATTTAAGGGTGTACCCAAAATCTCAGTCATCAGCGCTAGGTACACTGGGACATAATACTTTACAAAATTAAAGTTAATCTCCGAAATCAACGATGAGCAAAATGTCATTATTTGTTAAAGACCGGTGCCATACTTAGCCATCCTGGAGCCTGAAGCCGAAGGCAAAATGTGTGCCACCGGCATAAATGGAAGCTACTCATCAAGCATATTTTAAAATCTCCTTTGCTTATCTCATTTTAACCAAGGCAATTGCCATATTTGACACTTTCTTTTGACCAGTGGCAATCCTAAGCAATTTTTAATTAGGTTAACCTGAAATCAAATAATAATGAAATTTTGTGTGGGTATAAATAAGGCATTCAAGCTTAATGGCACGTCGTAAGTTTTTATATACCTGTTTTTCATGATTTCAGTATTTTTGACTGCTTAACGTTCTGGGGGAAAGTCAGCTACACATAAAATTGTGTATATAGAGGTACACGGTTCTCTTTTTGCCTGCGGTGCTTCAGATCACTAGAATTTGGCGTAAGGGCTGCTTTGCAGAGATGAACGTGATTTATGTGAAATCTCTCCATGAATCCGAAGCACAGGAGAGCTCGGCTCCGGCATGGTAACTAGTCCAACAACAGTTCTTGCAATTTGTAAATGTAGCTTTGAGAAAACGTACATCAATACTTGCTCTTATTCTACCTAACCGCATTTAGGGACATGTCAGTTATGAATGTACCAAACCCACAGGAACGTATTTTTAAATTTCACTGTAGTTAATTAGTTAACGGCCTTCACCAAATTGTATTGAAATCATCAAAACAGTAAAACTGG